GAGCCGCGGCGCCTCGTGCGGGCTCCGACGCGCGCGCGCGGGTGGCAGAGCTCGAACGCGTAGCATCGCGCGCGGTCGAGGCGCGCGAAGAGATCGGGCGGCTTCGCATCTTCAAAAAGCGCGCCCACGGTCGTCGCCGCCCCGTCGTCGCCCCAGCGGAAGGCCGCGCGCTTCGCGTCGACGCAGCCGTTCGACGCGACGCGCCAGGCCCCGCCGCAGTGGAAGACCTTCACGAGGAGGCCGTCGCACTTCTCCGCGACTTCCAGCTGCGGGTCGTCGAGGTCGATGTCCGCGGCGCGCCGGTCGCCGACCTCCCAGAACTTGTCGAAGGCGCAGCAGAGGAGCGTGTTCGTGTGCTGCTCGTAGATGGCGCCGCGGCAGTGGTCCAGCGCCAGCGCGGCCGGCGTCCGCTCCGTTTCCTTCTGCGACCCGAACTGCAGCTGGTCGTCGTACATGACCAGGTAGACCTCGGTTCCGCCGAGGCACGCCGGCCGCACCTTGCAGCGGAAGGGCGGATTTCGGAGATGGCGCTCCACGTCGTCGAAGGCCGCGAGGCCCGCGCGCCGCAGGTAGCGCTGCAGCGGCGTGTGCGCTTCGTCGTCGCCGCGCGGCGCCGCCTCCGGCGCGTCCTCGTCGTCGTCGCCGCCCAGCGGCACGCGCACGAAGGGCGGCGTCGAGCCGAAGACCTCGTCGAGGCGGCTCCGCTTGTCCCAGACGACGCGGCCGCGGAACTTGAAGTAGACGACGCGGTGCTGCGGGATCGCGAGGTCGTCGCGCGACGCCTGCTCGATGCTGCCCCAGCTCGAGAAGGCGGTCAGCGGCTTCTCGAGGATCTTCTGGAGGATGCGGTCGAGGTAGCCCACGACGCAGCCGCCGACGTCGCAGCGCGGATCGTGGGTCCACTTGTCGATGACGTCCTTGGCCGTCCGCATGCGCTCCTTCTTCTCGATGGACTGTTCCGCCGCCTGCTTCTTCTTCTTCGCCATGGGTCCTGTTGCGAGTGTGATTTTGGTCCTCTCCTTGCTCGCGTGCTTCGAAGTCCTCTCCTTGCGCGTGTGCTTCGGGTCCTCTCCTTGCTCGTGTGCTTGGGGACCATGCTGGGCTGCCACTCTGGAATCATCTCCGAATGCGCTCTCACGCGCTGGCTAAAGTCAGCCTCAACTTGAAAAAAGCAGCGCGAAGCCCGATCTTGAAGCATCCCGGCTTGCGGCGCCCCTGTCTGCCCCTGGAGTCGCAAGCAGGCGCTCGGCAAATCGCAACGGTCCTCTCTTACCCTCGCGATGGCCCGCGTCGGCCTCCTCGCTCTGCTCACTCTCACGGCCTACGGCCTCCGGTCGCCAGCACCACCGCATCCGCGACACAACAAACGAGCCGCGGCCCACGTGTGCGGCGCGTCGCGCGCCGGCGTGGACGTGGGCGGCGCCGTCGCGGCGCTCGCGGCGGCGGCGGCGCTGACCTTGGGCGGGCCGGCCGTCGCGGAGAACGAGCTGGCGGCGTTGGGCGCCAAGGGCTTCGACTCGTCGCTCGTCGACACGTCGTGCTTCGCCGAGGGCGGCGCGTGCGGCGCGGCGGCCAAGGCGTGCCTCAACACGGGCGACTGCCGGCGCGGCATGACGTGCACGGCCAAGTGCCTCGGGGACAACGCCTGCATCACGGGGTGCTTCGCCAAGTACGGGAACGCGCCGATGAACGACCTGCTCGAGTGCTCGATCGAGAAGAACTCGTGCATCAAGGTGGCCATCCTGCCGACGGGGCCCGACTCGGCGACCGAGGCCCCCGCGCCGCCCCTCGTCCCCGTGGCCAACTTCGACCAGAAGACGCTGGAGGGCACGTGGTACAAGGTCATGGGCTGGAACGACCGCTACGACTGCTTCGACTGCCAGAAGAACTCGTTCGCGTCCGCGGGCCGCGACAAGCTCGCCGTCGACGTCGAGTTCTCCATGCCGCGGCCGCCCGCGGGGGCCTACCCCCTGCGCCTGAGCGAGAAGCTCGTCTTCGACCAGAGGAGCGCGCCCGGCGCGCTCCTCGGCGACGGCGCCGCCGCGCCGCGCCGCCACGCGCGGACCGAGGGCCACATGTTCGGCCTCACCTTCTGGGAGAATTGGTCCGTCATCGGCGAGAACGCTAAAGACGAGCCCGAGTTCAAGTTCATCCACTACAGCGGCAAAACGTCGCAGAACACGTACGAGGGCGCCTTCGTCTACGCGCGCGAGCCGACGCTCCCCCCCGCGGCCAAAAAGTCCGTCTACCGCATCGCCAAGGAGGCCGGCATGGTCCCCGCCAACTTCTGCGCCGTCCGCAACGACCTCGCGACCTGCGGCGCAGACGCGGCCGCGGCCGACGAGGCGCCCCCGCTCCCCGAGGCGCTCGCCCGCAAGGGCCTCTTCACGCGCGCGGCCTTCGCCTCCGAGGTCGACGAGACGGGCCTCGCCAGCGACAGAAAACCGGACCCGGTCCTCCCGAAATGGGTCAGGACCGTCGGCGAGGAGGTCGCCTCCTACCTCGAGGACCCCCACGCGACCGAGCGCTGGGTCTTCGCCCAGCAGCAGAAGATGGGCCCGGGCGACGACTAACCCGCGATGTTTGATATTCGGGGCGTCTACTGGGGCGGACGAGGCGGGCTGCGAGCGTCGCGCGACGGTCTCAGCTGGGTGGAGCACCTTGACTTCATGTTGACGCTCAACTCGGCGGAACAAAAAGCTCAGGCTGATGACGATGGCTGCTTCCGTGCGCCTCATGAGCATGATGACAGGGCGCGGTCTGCAAAGCGCATCGCTGCGCAGCACACGACGCTTCTCCAACATCGTCTGCTTCATGCCCAAGCTCAGCCCGACGCACGTCGAAGGCGTCGTGTCCAAGTGGCTGGTGAGCGAGGGCGACGCCGTCGAGGCCTGCGACCTCGTCGCGCACCTCGACGCCGACGACGTCTACGACGGCTCCGACCTGACGGGCCGCGTGACGATGCTGCTGGAGACGCACGACGACGGCGTGGTCGCGGAGTTGCTGGTTAACGAGGGCGAGCCGCGGCCCGCGGGCGCGCCGATCGCGCTCATCGCCGAGGACGCGGCCGGCGTCGACGCGCTCAAGGCCGCGTACCGCGACTGCCCGGACGGCGCGGACGCGGACGCCGTCGCGTCGCAGCTCGGCGCGCGCCTGATGGCGTGGCAGGCGTACCTCCACGACGCTAATGAGGGTTCCTAGCTAGTCGCGCTTGAAGACCTCCTTCGCGCGTGGTTTGGGGCGGCGTTGCAGTTTGCCCTTAAAGAAACTTGAAGGGCAGTTTACCAAGGCGAGGCAGTGGGGGGAATCAAAATCGCAAAATCGTAAGGGGTTTGGGGTATTTCGGGTCCGCGGAAGGCTTCTGGAAGGCTCCTGGAGGGCTTCTGGAGGGCTTCTGGCACGTGGCATGGGGCGGGTCGCGCCCCCTAGGGCGTGGGCGGCGCGTCAGAGGTCCCCGGCGAGGCGTGAGCGGCGGTGTTGAGGTCCCTTTTGAAGGGCAAGCGGCGGTGTTGAGGTCCCTGTTGAAGTGCAAGGTTTGAGGTTGAAGTCCAAGTTGAAGCGGCCTTTAGCATATCCCGCCTAGAAAGTTAGGATAGTTTACTAGCTTCCTAACGTCGCTATGACGTCAGTCAAACTACTATCCAGCAGGTGCACTGTCCGGCGACTGTGCAACCTCGCTGAGCCTGGTGCTACCTGGCACGTCGCTGTGACGCTAACCAGACAGACACCACAGACACAGAAGAGCGCTATGCACTCTGTGCCTGCTTGGCAGTCACTCCTTCAGTTCGCTGTCTATAAGACTTGAAACTGGATTAGAATGAATTAAGGAAGGGAAGGGAAAACTAGCAGGATACGCAGTAGGAGCGCAGTGGGGTAAGGTGCACTGCAACATCAAGATGCAGTTCACTGTTCACTGAAGATGAAGATAGAAATCTCTCTATCTCTCTACTCCCCCTGGATTGAAACTCCGTGTAAATCCCAAATGATAGTGGACTTCAGCTTCATCATGAATGGAGTCATACTGGCTTTGAAGCTTGTCTCAAATCGTTCAAGCGCAGATGTAACTGTATCATCCAGCTGCTCTCTGAGCTCTTTCTGAGTGACATTCCGTCTGTCCTCAGCTTCCGCCGCTTCCGCGACTAGCTTTGCAACGCGTTTCTCGGCGGCCTCTTTCTCGCCACCTTCGGACGTCATCTCTCCCCCTCAAAGCAAGCGCGGAGGCGAAAGCGAAGAGAAAAGAGCGCGAAGCGGGTAAAGAGAAGAGAAAAGAATGAAGCGAGGCTTCACAGGAGGCCGAGCGTCGGCCCACACCTAGAAAGTTAGGATAGTTTACTAGCTTCCTAACGTCGCTATGACGTCAGTCAAACTACTATCCAGCAGGTGCACTGTCCGGCGACTGTGCAACCTCGCTGAGCCTGGTGCTACCTGGCACGTCGCTGTGACGCTAACCAGACAGACACCACAGACACAGAAGAGCGCTATGCACTCTGTGCCTGCTTGGCAGTCACTCCTTCAGTTCGCTGTCTATAAGACTTGAAACTGGATTAGAATGAATTAAGGA